ACTGCTAAATTAGGGACGGCTAGAGCAGGTAGCCCTCGTGTAGCTTTGCGCGAAATTCAAAACAAACAAACAAACTTAACTTCTTCAAGGTAGCACCAGTCTTTACTACGCGGGTGTATCTAAAACGTTGTCGGGTGTATCTAAAACGTTGTGTTTACCGACACTCGATAACAGATTTGGTAATTTGGGGGCAAAAAGGGTTAATAACTTTTATTCAATGGATCAATGTGATGGTAATTTTGGGGCAAAAAGGGTTAATCGTCTTTTTGTTAGACAAATTAGTTCGATCGCGGCTTCTCGAAAAATATTTTTAGGAATCTGTTTGATACTTTTGAAAAGGAAACATTTTAGCGCGCGATAAAAGTCGATGAGCGCCGACAGCAGTCACCTTATAAAGGAGGGATTTGGGGGCATGTGCCCCCAGAATAATTTTTATTCAATGGATCAATGTGATGGTAAATTTGACCTGGATCCAGCTGGTCAACCAACCATAATATATTACAGAAAGCTGCAAATTTGACCAAAACGTGAGATTTTTCAATTAATGAAAATAGGCTCAGATGCATGAGTATTTATAGCTCTACTTTCCAGGTCGGTGTATTGTCTTCTTCAAAAGGATGCATGATAACATGATGTTCCAAGAATTATATTTGATTTTCCCCTTCAATTACCAGATACAAATTATCAATTGTTTTGGATAAGGTAACTAAAAAAAAAAAAGATCCAAAGTGTTAATTTTAATTTAAAAATCCCCCCCAATTTTTATTTGGGGAGTACAAGTTTTTAAACCTACCACCTACAAAACTAAAACTTGTCAACATACAAGATATATCTACAAATTAATGGTTTGTTATTAATTTCCAGTTAGAATATTTGGAAACAATGGCTTTTTGAAATTAATTGCAATTTTTGTTTTACATTTTCCAAATTTCCATAGCTATTAAAGTCAATAAATAGCTTTAAAGGCGCCAAGAGAATTTAACCCCTTGCCCAAAATACTTCATCACCCTAACAAACTGTAATAGGTAACAAAGTCCTCTTTTTGTCTCAATTCGTCCTTGTGTGTGTGTTTTGTTTAATTTTTGAAAATCCCAGTTTGCTACCATAAAAACGAAAGTTTTTATCTTCAGCGTGGCCTTGAATTTTGGTTTGTTTGTTCGAAGTTAAGCACAAAACTACACAATGGGCTATCTGTGCTCTACCCACCATGTGTATCGAAACCTGGTTTCTAGCGTTATAAGTCCGCAGACATACCGCTGTGCCACTGGGGGACACTTGAATTTTGAATCACATTCACCAAAATTAATCAATTGATCCTTGGCCAACATTAGGCCTTTATACCAAATTTGATCAAATTTGACTTCTGTTGCTGACCTTCTGCGTGCCCTTGACATTTGACCTGCTATCACCACAAGTTAATCAAGTATTCATTAGGGGATACTCAACCTTCAATCGAAGTATGATCAAAATCAGATGAAGTCTTTTCGAGATATAGTGTTCACAAACAGAGGAGTTCAACAATCCCCTGACATTAGGCGGGGGGTAAATATGTAGTCTTAAAGCTGGAATAAGGTTCAATGTTGTAGATTTTTAAAACTCTTAGTTATTACATCAGAATCCTTTCTTGATCAAATAATTTCAACCCATGGTCACATTTTAACAGAGAGATAAACATGTTTTTTTGTTTCTTCATAGTGCCAATGTTGAGAGTGAAACTTCAAAAGTGGCAAAGTAATTTAGTTCCTATAATAATCCTCCTTTTGAGGCTTTTTTTATGTCCAAACAGTTATATTTGATTTAGTACAGTTTTAACATGTGACTATTATAATCTGTTCTTGCCACAGTGTGCCACCTAAAAACAAAAACCTGGTTAGTGCGTTCGAGTTGCAATTTGTGGGTCTTGGGTTCAAATTCCATAACCGAACACCGTCTCAGCTGTGGGAGGAGTTATAATGTGACCGGCAATACCACTATTCGATTACAGTAGCCCAAGAGTTGGCGGTGGGTGGTATTGACTAGCTGTCTTTCCCCTCTGTTCTAAATTAGGGACGGTTAGCACGGATAGCCATAGAGTAGCTTTGGGTGAAATTCAACGAACAAATCAAAGTACTAAATTAATTTTTGTTCCCCTACTTTTTTATTTGGTCGAAGTAATTACTTTGATATTTGTTTTTCTATTTAAAAAAGTTAAGAAAAGGTACCCATACAACGTATGGCATTTATTTCATTGGCCGTATGATATTCTCAGGTTAAAATTATTTCATCAAATAGTATAAGACCCATTTTATAACACTAGTATCAACAAGATAAATTATGAAGGAAATCTGACTCTAATTAAACCAACTGACTTTAAGCAGAGAAATAAACAGGTTGAACACAATGTGTAATACAAAATGAAAACAACAGTTATTTATTCAAAGACACTTGGTTTAGGACACTGGGCAGTCTCATTTTCCCCTGGACCAGTAAACTGATTACCTGGCCTTCTTTACTCGAGACGTCTTACCGTTAGTTAACATACCTGATATCCTGTTTAGTACTGTTTAAATCTAACGTTTCTTACTTAACGGGAAGTGTAAGATTTACCTAGAGCGACTAGTGCTATCCACGTGGATGGTCATTCTTATAATGAAAAACTTTAGATATGATCAGCGCTACCAGTTAAGGATACTGCTGTCTTTGACCTTCTTACACAACGTGCAGTGTTGCAGCAATATCTCCATAGGTGGCGCAGGTATTATATTTAAAGAACAACAAAGGAAAAAGGTAGCTAGAAGTAAGTTAACGGTTTTCTGGGCTAGGTGCTATGTAAAAACTGCATAGACTGAGAATAAATAAAAAGTTTTGAAAATTTATATATCCAATAAGAAGGTAGAACACGCATGGTATGCCTGCATACCACATCTTTACGGGAAGAGCGTACGTGTGTGTTATTTGCCATGCATATCTACCGAATACTGGCATAGACGTTTCTAGAAATCCACCTCTATTGGATTAGCATAACTATTTTTAGCACCTTCTGTTACTTGTACTACTAGAGCCCCTGAAAGCTTTAGGCCACCAAATGTCGGGAAGTAGTCAGCAGTAGCAAGGGGAGGGGCAATTGAAATGGTTGTCAAACTCGTAAGTTAAAAAAAAATACAGCAAGGGGGTTTAAAAATCCCTTTGAAGAGCCTCTGAAAGCTTCACGGCGATTATAAATCTTGAAATAAGAATTAAGACACTAGTAATGGGACAGCTGAAATTATTATCACAATGTTCAAACTTGTGGAAGAGGAAAAATTGAAATGTAAGTGGTTTCAGGATCCATGTGGATCATATCCAAGAATTCCTGAAATTTTCATGGTGATCGTTGTCAGGAAATTGGAAAATATTCATTGCAGACAAACAAACATACAGCCACAAGGGTCTTTATAAAATATATTCGCTTTCTTTTTACGTTCATATGTTGTTTGAATTTCGCACAAAGCTACACAAGAATTATCTTCCTTAGCCGTTCATAATTTTTAACGGATAAGGCAGCTAGTCAACAGCACACTCCGCCGCTCTTGAACTACTTTATTCGCATAGCTAGTTTGTTTCAAGATTTCGCGTTAAGCTCACAAATGGCTATCTGTCTCTAAGTTTGAAATGATAGATTAAGCAACAGTGCCCACCGCCATATCTCTGGCTACTCTTGTCTGACCGAATATGTTTTTTTACTATCACTCTTATAACTCACTCGTAACGAAGTGTATTTTTGAGGTTACGGGGCTCAAATTTTGGACCCTTAGATTCACAGTCTACCACTCCAAGAACTAAGCTACGTTCTCCTCCTCCGAAAAGCTACGGTAATGAAACTAGCCCGGATTCGAACTTAAACACCGAGGGAGTCTTGATAAAAAATGTTGTTGTTTTTTTAAATCTCGTATTTGTTGTAGCTTTTGCTACAGAAAACTAGAAGATAAAAGGTGTCAACAGTTTCATTAAAAATACTGCGGTATTTTTGATGACAAAA